CTGGTTATGAAGCTTATAAGCTGAGCAGGTCAGCTGGTCAGCTGTCGTACAAAAACCTCGTCTTAGATCACGTAGCGTAATATTATGGTAGATCAGACTGTAAGGTGGCTGTAAGGTCTATTGTAAATCTCGGTAAATCTCTTTTAACCAATCCTTTCCATCCGTTACAGCACGTACTTCGAGATTTCGGTCAACGAGATCAATCCAGGTAAGTTTGGATCTACATGAAGACTGGAGCATACACAACAACTTTGATTCTTCATTATGAAAAACAGAAAAGGCTGAATCTGCTCGAACCTCGAATCGATCTCATTCTTCTAGCCGCCTCATTTAAATATTCGTTCTTTTTAATTTTTTGTGTGTCAGTCCCTTTCCTCCGCCCTTATTATATATTACGCATTGTCGCATTATTGTGGACTCTCTTTCTAGCTGTTGAATATTGTATACTGTCATATTGCTGTTGAATACTGTCATACCAATTGGTCGTGTGATTGCTGAAATGTTAGCGGTGCTAGTTTTACGAGCTGTTCCGGCTAATAGAGCAACGTTTCTCTTTGCTTTGACTGATAATGCTCATGCGTTTAGGGAGAGGGAACATTGGCGCAGTTAGTTGTAGTGTCCCTCTGCACGATAAGCGCTGAGTGTAAATATTATCTGTGGCGTGAGGTCTTTTATTGAAACTGCTTTTCCCCTGAACCAAGACCACACTGTATTTTGCTGCAAAATGCCGAAGAAACGTTGTTGTTCTTGTTGGCTTCTATCGTCACCTTCAGTTGTTTGCATAAGCAGAACACTGTTATGTTTGTGACGTCTTTTGTACTGTCAGCTTTTCGATATTTTTGCCATTTGACACCGGTACCGGTTACAGCATCGTAGAAGAAAATACTCCTCCACCAAAGCAGATTCACCTCTACCCTGTTTCTCGATGTCGCATGCTGACCTCCTGATCGACGTCTGTTGTGTTTAAGCTCCCATACGAGAAACTCATCGGCTGGAATAAATGACTTTTGCTCAACTAGTTTGCCTAAAAGGGAAAGCCTCGTTTTCGTAATCTCCGTATGTGTGGCGAACACCCGTTCCGGGAATAACGCAGAGCTTTTCCTCACTTCCGCACCTAACCCTTCCACATAGCCCTCTTCATGCGTTGATGCCAATGTTGCTGCATGCAGTTCCACTGTGGTTGTTGCTAGAACAACTGTCTGTATGCGGTGCAGCCAGACTGGCCTGACCGAGGCTAGATACAGGAGGGTTTGCGAAGGAGATAATCCTTTTTTAGGCGAAATACTGGGCATGTTTCCAAAAGCGCTGAGGCTAGAACGACGCCCTTATTTGACTCTGGCTGGATGGTGCCATCGCTGGAGATAATGAGCCGAAGTATTTAAATTTATGTGCCTCTTGCAGAGTTTCAACTCCCTGTTCCACTCCTGAGCAACGGGTAGTATGTCTTTTGACTTGCGAATGGTAGCGCATGGAGTTATGGGTTGCTGATGCGAGAACAGGCGGGATTTGTGACCCTGGTATTTCATGCTATACACCAGTAATTCGCCTTGGCCACCTGATAGCTATCTAATGACCAGAACAAAGTGTATTCCGCAAATTCAAAAGTAAATAAATGAATTTGTTCCATGTGAACATGGAATTCCGTAGTCCCAACTTTTTCAAGAAAAGTTTGTCCCCATCGACACTGAATATTCAGAAAGGAAATAGTTCTCGCTGTAATGCATTTCCGTATTTTCCAAGTTTCTATAATGTTCTTCGTGTGATAATATCGATATTCAGTTGATAATATACATAAATTTATTATCCAACGTTTCAGATTCAGCTCGATCCGTCTTCACAGGGATACATAATATGCAAAAATACGTTATAGTATAAATCGGTAAAATACGGGTAGCAATTTAATTATGGAAATTTCAACCTCGACAATGGAAGCTGCTTCATAATTTCGTACCAATATGAACTTAATTCCATTCCAGCGTGATTTATTTGGAAATAACACCTTACTTTAGAGCAGCAGGAAAACGGGTATATTTTGCACCGTTTTTTTATTGAAACGAGTTTGCACTGTTTTTGATACGGCAGCGAACAGATGAACAAAACTTTCCTTATTTGGACTAATTTTAACGGCATTTTCTTTTGCTTTTCTCATCTTTCAGGAATGTACTTGTAATGCAGTTTTTTCTTTAATGCGGCAGTACAAGTCCTGGAAACTGAAACAAAAAAATTTACCTTATAGTTGTAAAGTGGTACAATCTGTCATTTTCATGAGCCATACGTCGTTTCTTCATAAAGCGTCATTGAAGAACGGATTTTATTTTTTGCATTCCTAAAAAGGCTATGTTTTTGGAACACTTTCAAGCGATCGTCATCAGTTCCGTGGTTTTTTTTTGAATCAACCGGCTGCCAACTCGGGCCGCCTAAGACGGATCATAATGACGAAAAGATATATCGTTCCTGGTGCATGGTTCATTTCTGCCGAAGCCAGCGCAAAGACGATTTTAGAAGGAGTTAGACTCGGGGGAGAGCTGAACTTAAATGTTATTTCATCAAGTGTTCTTGAGAGACCCTATCTGCTTTCAGCTGGTGAAATTATGCGGCTAAAAATAGGCAAAATTTCTAATACAGGGTAATGCAGAAAAGACGTCGTCTACAGGGAAGGCTTTTCTACGAATTGTTCCAAATGGTCACTGCAGTTCATCAGTATTCTGGCTGCTAGCTTTTCATCGATTTTTTAACGTTTAAAGAGGTCTTTGACCTCTGACCGACATACGTAAGATTCTGTTGACTGTAGAACCTAGCGCTAGACAGGATACTCTTTATATTAAAATTTGAAAACCTCTAGTGATTGTCTCCAAAGAGAGGACGATGGAGCATCATTCAGTGAATACTGTGCACAAACGATGACGTTTGAATTGATATATACCGGAGAAGACGATTCAGCGCTTAAAGCGTTGCACTTATGTTCTCGTTGGCATAAGATTTATGAGGGAAATGAAAAGCCTCAGGTAACATATAATGCTGGCTGATTTACCGTAAACGGAAAGATACTATGGGGAAAGGTAACATTATTTTCTATAAAATTGTTTCGAACTGATGCTCGGCTATTCGTTTGCAAAGTCATTTCGAGTCTGTCGAAAGTAAATCTTCATGAATCGTTAAAGCTCTGAACAGCTGAAACAATAAAGGTGTTAGACTCTGATTTTTTTACTCTTGGGTGCGATGAAACATATTTTTCTGAAAGAAAAGGCAGAGATGATATAGTAATCTCCATTACGGTACATTATTCTATAACAATAATGAAGCTTGTGACATGTCAGAACGGAAAGCAAGGAAATGCGAAGCTTTTTGACCACGTGGTACCACTGGCAAGGAATAATGTGCAAAACAGTTTGATTAGAAATTAAGCACATATCCAAAATAACTGTTAGAGGCTGTGAAAATGGAAATGATTAATTAAGGATCGCATAACGGAGCAAATTGAGGAAGAACAGTGATGAACGGCTGAACTGTGGAAAACGATATATCTGAGCGGAAGGTGCACGGAATCTAAGCTGACCTGAGATCAAGTATGGGAAAACAGAGGTCGCATCTGTATCAAATAAATCAGCAGTCGTACCCTGTACGCTCTGATGAAATTGATTAATAATAAATGAACTGCCTTTTTTCACAGAAAGAAATAATTTTAATGATGTTTTACTGATGATCCACACATCTTCCTCAATCCCTCCCTCTATTTCCTTCGCTTAAACCAGTATACGATGAAAGTGTGGGATCACGTGGTAGGGTAAAGCAGAACGAACAGTTTTCGCACTGCCGAAAGGTCGGTGATGGGCATTCTGAAAGTCTGCTAGCGAATCTCTGGTATTCAGAATTGACAGAGTTGTTTATACCGTTCATTTACCTCTGTGTGCGAGAAAGACTGGCTACAAAGTTGAACAGAATGAGTCGGGTACCTCGTTCGCAATAATCTCGAAAGAAAGCATGATGAAATCGTTTCGGCATGTTGTCTGCCATTTGAACTGGAGGTAACAGTTTTTGGCAAAGAACCATTTGAGATTAGGGAAAGGCATTGCAGTGCAAATCATAATTCTTCCTTTAAAAACGTGAAATACGACTGAGGAAGTCCATCGTCACAAATGAGCGTGTACTCAAAAAGATGTTGATATCGAAGCAGAGAAAGTAGAATGAAGACGAGAGGAAACATCCATTAGAATGTTCTATCACTAAGAGTAGCGCCGAGGTGGTGAAAGTCAATATGTTGTTCTTGTTCTACTTGATTTACAAGGCGAAGGTGTGCGATACAGTGCGAGATGTAATCCTCGGTTAAGACGGTAGGTAGCATAATATAACCTATTCGTCATACTCTCTGAAGGAACACACAAGCGCAGTGATGCAAACCTCTCCTCTTTCTTCGCAAGTAGCATATATGTTCTCCAAACGGATTTGCTTTCCGTAGAAAACCATTAGAAGGTCTGTTAGCG